GGACATCACAGGCAGGAAGTCTTTCTCGCTCATTAACAAGTAATTAACGTGGTAATGCCGAGAGTGTGCCGCGCCGAGCAGCTCCCGGAGGGGGGGTGGGGAGTGGCGGCCTAACTGGCTCATCCGTCAGAGTTCCGCGGGTCACCTTAGGTTTTTGAGTACTTCTGTCTAAATGAGACTGTTAGCATATGACGCGTGTCGCGGAATCACTGGAACGCCGCTTTATACCGGAATGGGCCGTTAGCCATGCAGAGGAGCGTGTTGAGAGTGTGGGTTTCGTCCTGAGCCCGGCCTAAGCTATGCGGGCTCCTGGTGAAGTGTTTTCGACCGGGTGGGTATGGTCGACAATTTTAGCGCGCCCCAAGCTGTTTTAGATGGAGTCGGGCTAGAATTTTCGGTCATTCCCGCCCGAAGGCGGGGCGAGTCGTGGTCAAAGGTGGAACGAAGTAGCATCCCTTACTGAGAGTGACTGTGCCCACCCACGCGATCAGCGCAGATCCTTGTTTCCCAGGCCCAGTAGTGAAGTCTTTGACATTTACGAGGATTTTCGGAAGGGTTCAAGGTCGGTCCATTGAAATGAGCCACCTTTTGCCGGATTTTGGCCGTTGGTCCTGAAAGCACTCAGTGGGGTCCTTTTTCCAAGGGCCACCTGCCAAAATCCAGCAGGAAGCGGCTCTTTCGAATGGGCCCCGTCCTCAAGTCTTTTCCGCACCAAGCAACAACGTGAGACTTTTTTTTAGACCACGTTGGAAAATGAATGAGGGATTGACGGACTTTTGGGTACGCGCGGTTTTCAATGCAAAAATCATGACCCAGTCCTCGTGCCGGCGTGTTCTCCGTTCTGCAGCAGGACCCACCCAAAATGAATGTTGCCAGTGGGAAGAGGGCAGTGTGATATTAATCAGACCTCTCAGCAAGTGGGGGTGGGCTGTCAGTGCTGACCGGCCTCTCCTTCCTCGCGATTAGTCTCTCGATGTGCACGCGCTCGCTCCGCCGTTCTGGCCGTGCTGTGCTGCTGCGCCTCCTCCTCCCGCCGGGGTGGCTGCCGGGCAGGAGGGGTGGTGGGCGTGGCCTCGCGGCCGCGGGGAGGCCCGTGACTGGCTGGCGCGCCGCGCGGCCCAGGCTCATTGGCGGAGGCCCTCGACAATGGCTGAGGGTGGTGTTGTGGTGTTCGTTCGGGGTCGACTGAAAAGGCCTTCCCTCCGGCACCGTCTTCGCCATCGCCTTTCCGCTGTTGCGGGCAGTCTGGGAGGGGGCGGCGCACGGCCGTCTCCAGACAGGGGTGGTCCCCACCCCGGCCGCCCAGGCGAACCTCGTGTCCCCTGCAGTACCCTGCAGCTGTCAGTCGGTCAGTCAGCCCTCCCCGCCAGCCCCTGGCTGGGCTGAAGACAGTTAGACGCCACGCGCGCACCTTCTCTTCGGTCAATTACTTGCAGATGGATTGCCTACTCATCGGGCGTCAGGAAGGCTTATGAGCTCTGGATACGCGTCGGCGTTCGTGGCCTACGACACCATAGCAAAGAGCCCCATCTGGCCCCATCTCCCCTCGACACGAAAGGCTTCGCGTATTGTGTCATAAGTGCGCTGCCTATAATCGCGCAGTGCCTGGGCCGCCCGAGGGCACAGCCCAAAAGAGCCCCTTGGACTGCCCCGCTGCCCCGCTCCCGCTGCCTAAGGGCCGAGGACCACGGGGACCAGCAGGGCCCGTCCGAGGACCTCGTTACCACCCACTCGGAGCAAAGTGATGTCGATTTGCAAGAACGTGGCTAGACGGAGAGAAGCCTCGTCTAACAGGCTGGGGGGTCTGCACGTCCTGCACCCCGGCCCGTGCGCCTCCTCTAGCTGACGCGAGGCGTGTTTCGCCGCCGCTCCGGGTCAAAGCCCTTAAGCACCTCCATTCACCCTACGGCAACGACAGCGAAAATTTCATTTCAACGGTCTCTTCGCCAAATTTAAGGGACAAGATTGAAAATATGAGTTTTATTTTAACTTCACATTAACATATGTGTGAATTACGATGGTACAATAAAACATGTCAAAGCTCGAACTTGTATCATCAGTTTCTTGGTGATATGCTATGTACCAGCATTGTTTCATTAACGATAGCAATAATGATGAATTAAAATAATATTGAATACAAATGTTACTGATCTTACACCTTTCAAAATCATCTTTCCTTCGGCAATACATTCATATTTTATACAAACACAATAGTCAAAAAATCACAACATTTTATAAACATCAAGACCTTGACGACATTAACTCATACCTATAATCGTACAAAAAAAAAAATCTTGCATAAATTTTTTTTATTATTTGAAATCCAGAGGATCCAGCACCGCCTCCAATAAGCTAGCAATTTTAACATATGTTAAGAATTTAAAAACACATGGGACAACACAAATTTCAATTTTGCAAAAACCAAACTTCAGTCTTCAATTGAATTAATTTGATCCCTTGACAAATTTGTATGGGAAAAAAATGAACTGAAGGTTTTTCTGGCTTCTCAGAGAACTCTAGTAAGGCACAACAGAGGCAACGTTCTGTATTTTACCGTTGTGGCAAAAGTTGCTCACAGTAATTATTCTGAAAGAACAAAATGCATAACTGTCATCAGATCTGATGTTAGAGAGACTAACAAAAAAAAAAACACAAAAAAACATTCAAGTGTTAAACAACCAAAGAGGTACAATGACATTTTCTTCAAAACTGCAATTAAAACTGAAATACTAATTACAAATGGTCACTTGGATACATAAGTGTGAACATTGCCAAACAACCCATGTGAGTTCATCTCAATTATTAGGTCACAAAAGGAAGCATCAGCGATTTTTCCTATCTAGTAACTTAACTTGTTCAGGCCCTACTAAAATATTTTCACTTTTAATGAAAAGCATGTTTAATTAAAATATTCTAGTTTAAATAATATAGCACCCAACAACAACACTATCCAGAAACAAACTTTGCAGTAAGTTATTGGTGGTAGGTTATAACTGCAAAGAAGAAGAAGGCTCCTAATTTTCATCAAACCTTTGAGGCTGTGCTCCAGATCAATATTTTAAATGATGCTACAAAATTTGCCTCTAATAAAAATTAAGCTGAAATGCAATTCATGAATCATCAACCAATAACTTCTACCACTGATGTGGATTATGAGGAGGCATCTGGTGAGGGGGCATAGGCTGGTATGGAGGATACCCAGGGTACTGCGGTTGAGGTGGTATGGGATACCCACCATATCCTACAACAAAAGAGGAAAACTCACTTAAAGTGTATTATGAAAAAAAATATGTACAGAACAAGCTTCCTCTAATAAGAAGACACACTACATTAAAACTCCTTCAATTTTGATTTATATTTTATTTAAAAGTAAGTGTGCCACAACATTAAAATCTACACACATAACATAGATAATATGTTGATTAACAACACCTATTTTTCAGTCATAAGAAAGACACTCACATCAACCCTAGCATAAGCAACTTGATTACAAATCTAAAAAAAAAATTGCCGGGCAGCATCACAAGCAGAAATTTGAGAACCTACAGAGATTCAAATCAGACAAGAGTAGCAGCAGCTTTTGATTTACAAAAAGGCACAACAAAGATCACATAAAAATCTTACTTCCAGATAGCTTGATTTCTAATTGGTTTGCATGACAACAAAATAAGTTCATGAAGCCCACAAAAATCACAGAAATGTGCTATTACATTATCATTAACCTCAATAATGTGTGATGCCAAATAGTAAAGTACAGTGCATGAAAGAGTATACAAAGATAAAACACAGCGCTGTGTTAGAAGCGAGCTTCTACTTGGAGCATTAGTCATTTTAACAGTGAAAACGACCCATAATTGATTACAAAATTGAGACAATATGGCAAAACCCCTTTCTGATGGGTCTCTTTTGCAACTTTATAAGCAGTTACAATGAATATTTGTTCAGAAATTCAGAGTTTGAGGAGTGGGATTTGCCATGTTATAAGTAGGAAAACAATCTGAGGTAATAACTACGTTTCACTGAATTGCAACTATTTTATGGCACAAGGCACAAAACAAGCACAAATATACTTGTCATCATTTCAAAAGCCAACTTAATATTAATATTTTTCTGATTATTTCCTCCAAGAAAATTGTACTTTATTGTAAATACCTCAAAAGAGGTCTTATTGTAAGAAGAAAGTAAATTAGATAAAACACACTACATCACTACTTAGTCAATAGAATAAAGACGGAGCGACATTCACACGCGTACAAAGACAATCACAGAGCAGACAAAATCAAAGAAAAATGAATAAAATGGTAACAAAACTGATTATTTAACACTGGTCACAAGCTAAAATTACAGAAACAAAGCTTTCTATTAGCAAATATATGAGATTCATGTTAATGAAAGGACACTTTCACCAGTACATGATCAAGCACTATTAGTATTCTAGTAAGCAAAACTATTAGTGCAACTACTATTTATGAAATGATGCAATCAGGTGCAGCTGGAGTGCGATCACCACCATGCTTGAAGCATGGTTGACTTGGGTTATCAGAGGGCAAAGCTGGCACATCACTGGTCTCACCTTGCTGAGGATATGGTACACCTCCCATGCCCGCATACGGATTGAAGCTCTGAGGCATGGGCGGAGGCACGTATGATGGGTATGGCACAGAGCTTGAAGCCCCGTATGGAACAGGCATCCCAACAGGGTAAGAAGGATATGGAAGATGGGGGGCCCCGGCCGTTGACGGTCCAGCTTGAGACGCTGGAGTTGAGGCAGGTGAAGTGGTAGGAGGTGGGGGACGTGGAGGGGCAGCCTTTTTAACTTCTGGTTTAAGGGAAAGAAAAGAGAAAGATTATTAACATAATATAATGCCGTGACCTTAACTTTCAGACAGAAAAGAAACACCAAAAAACACTACCTGAAGTATCTTCTGCTGGCTTTTCATTAGCAATATTCTCTAGTAATTCATTTACTTCAGTCTTCCGTGCAAAACAAAAATCAGATATTTTGTTTTGGAAAGCCACTAGGAGCTAGAACAGACAATAACAAATTTTAGAAAATAAAGTACTAATTAGAGGTTTCCGAATTCTTCAGCAAACACCATGTACCTGAGTGAGATCATTGTAGAATTTAGCACCTTCTTTCAGGTTGCTCTGTAGCTCCATAAAGGCATCATGAGCAGCAGCCAAATTCATTAGCATCTGTTCTCGCTGAGCAGAGGCTCCTCCATTAGCACTTCTTTCACGGATGAAATCACTATGTTGAGTCTGAGGAAACATCATCAAATAATTCAAGAGTGTTTTAATCCAGGTAGATCAATACATTTTTTTTGTAAGTGTAAACATTACCTGAATTTCGCCAATAATCTTTTCTTGTTTACTGAGGGAATCTTTAACTTGATGTTGCAAGGGACCAAATGCTCTACCAAGGCTTTCTGTACTTAAAGCAACTTCATTAATAGCTCCATCTTGGCTAAGAGCAGATAGGAATGTTGACTTCATATCAATAGTTGCTGACTTGAGTTCTGATTCAATTGCAGCTCGCTCAGCCTTAATGATTTCCACCTTTAAAAAAAATCAACAACCTCTATTGAATTAGATCATTAATACTACACAAAGATTTCCTCTGAATGCAGTTTAGAAAATACCAACCTCTTCCATGAGCTCTTTAAGCCTACGGAATGCCAAACTATTGGAACTGACCCCTGCAGATGAGGCTGAAGGGACAGCTTCATTTATAGCATTGGCACCCTGGCTCAGCAGTTTAATACACTGGCTGTGTGACTCAAATTTCTCACGAACAACTTTATCTGCTAAAACTGCATTATTAATAATCTCCCGGTACTTAGCCAAGTTGGCTCGGAATGTTTCTGTGAGTTTTACAGATGGAGTACGAGTCCAAGACTTGAACCTTTCCCGAAGTTGATCATCTTGTTCTTGCTCTTGCTTCAACAGACGCTCCGCCTAGACACAAAATTTTAAAAGATCAATAAAACATTTATCTTAGTTTGGTGCTACTTCAATTGTGAACCTAGAAATTTGTAGACTTAAAAGCACCTCATTCAAAATGTCTCTGTTTCTTTGCAATAGCTCCGGAAGTTCTGTTAGTTGATCATTGAGAGCATCCACTCCACCAACAGATATCACAGCATTTGATTTCTCAACCAGAGATTGAGGAAGAGCACCACCTACAGATTCTTCAAGAGCAGCAGGAAGATTCAGTGATGCAAGGATACTGAAACAAAACACAAAATATGATGTACTTATTGCTACTAGAATAAATAAGATAATAAGTAACTTTACCTGTTCAGCATGTTAGTGGAATCCCTCAATTTGGTAACTTCTCCATTGATAATTTCTGATTTACGCACTTCATACGCAGCCATAGCTTGGTGTACGGTGACAGGTACAAGGTTTTCAAAAAGATCTGCAAATCAATAAACAACCAGAACATAAGAAAAATTGAATTTAAGAGTAATATGTAATCAGTCACAAGTACTAATTAAAACAAACCTTTGAAGTTTTGACTAAACTGTTTGGGTAGAGGGAGGGCCTTGGCAATGGCAGCTTTAGATACAGGAGTAAGATTTTTGTAATCTGGAATTCGCTCATGATATATAAAGTCATTATCTTTTTTGGCATCATTTAGTGCTCTTGTTGCTTTATTAGTGAGTTCCTCAAAAAGTGTGGCTCTTCCTGAGCGTTGCTGACCCGCCTTCAGCAGTTCAACAGCTTTCTGTGAAATGAAAATCATAATACATAGTACTAAGATCTTCAAAAAATTGCAGAACCATACAGGGAGTTTTAAAAGGATACTCACCTCCAATCGTGCTATCTCTTCACCGATTGCTTTGTCTTCATGAGCCACTAAGCCCTGGAAGTATTCGGTCAAGCCATGGAATGATGCCTGCTTCCCAGCAACCTAGAAAACATTTTATAAAATCCATATACTATATCTACTTATTTATTTCAGGGCTTTCAGATTGATGCAAAGTGAACCAAAACAAGGCTTACCAATAAGATCCAGTCTCTGTCCCAAAGAGGCTTCAATTGTTCCTTTTGAAGTGCTTTAAGTGCTTCAGCATATAGTTCTTCAGTTTGAGCACACAGTTTTGCAATCACTGCAGGCTTCATGTTATCTATAAATATAAGATTTAAGATAAGAGGTTGTCAAAGAGACTTCAATAAAGATAGAAAAAATATTATCCTTACCATGCATTGCTTTTTGTGCAAACATTTCCTGAGCTTGAGCGAGCATAACAGCACCCAAGGCAGCTAATGCATCGGGGTTGAGGTCAGGTGTAGGGTCCTGCTGGATAGCCAGCATGACTGTTGCTTTAAGGTGGTTAAAGATACCAGCAGATTGCTAAAAAATTAATATTGAGGAATAATTAGGCAATGGAGAGAACAATAATTGTAAACCCTCTATAAATTACTACCTGGAAGAGCTTGGCGGCCAACTTGAGACCCTCATCACTAACTAAACTTTGAGAAGAAGCTACAGCACTCTGCAGAGCAGCGATGTTGAAGAGAACGCAGACCTTCTCATAACTCAACGAAGACACAGCTAAAAGGTAATAGAATTGCATTAAAAACATTTCATTTAAACATATTCTAGTCAGCTTAAACCATGCAGTGATTTATATCACGACACTTTGATTTATCACTTACTAAGGCTAATCCTGCCACCAAAGAATGTTCCTTTGTCAAAAGCATCTTTCCACTTGAAAGGTATTTGAACCTCATGGGCAGGGATTTTTGCCTCGAGAGCACAAAGCTGATCATAGTACCTGGAAACAAAAATGGGAAATATTCCCATGCAAAACAAATTTAATAAATCTGATGTCACAGCACACCCTTCAAGGATAGCTTTGTTAAACAAAGAAATAATCAGAGAAAAAATGAACTCAGAGGTTGTTTAACAGTTACACTGAAACTAAAATGCAAGTTGCAGAGCAGCAACAAGTTGCTGATTGTTAAGTTGACATGACATGTCAGGACAATGAGCAAAGATGACAAAAACAATAACATTGAAGATAAGGGCAGTGATGTAAGCTGTGAGTCATAGTTGACACTTCGGCAAATCTTATGCATCGAATGGCAAACCTCCAAAATGCAACCATAATAATATTTGACAATCAATTGTTATAATGCGTTTCGTATAATTAAATCATCAAAATAAAGACATACCCATAAATAACCTCCAGGGAACTCTCGTACTTCTCGAATACTCTCCATACAGCGTTGTTTCGAATCTTACTAAGTTCATTAATAGCATCACTGTAATCCTCAGGATTATCTGCAGTACTGTAAGAGGCTGATATTAAGTTTTTCAACGGTTTAACTATGTCAACTTCTGTTGGTTTCTTTAACGGAGCCGCTATGAAGTCCGCCATTGTGCAAGGATGAGCTGTTCCGTTCCGTTCGGTTGTTGCTGCCCTGTTCAACTGTTCAATCTGTCAGAAATTAGTTACCGAATACTACACGAGGTTGCGCTAGCATCGCATCGTGTGACCTAGAGTGACCGGGGGGGCTGGGGGGGTACAAAAGTACAAGTGCCGTTGAAATTGAAAGCACCTAAGGTGTCTGCTAGGCTAGAAAGGATAGAAACCTCGTACGACACTGTGTTATGAATTAGAATTTAGTTGATAATTGTGTATTCTTTTTTTAAAAGTAACACAATTTTGTTACCTCTTGAGTCTTTTAGATTATGACGTTGTGATGAATTTATTGTCATTGTAGCTGAAGACTGTTTTAACGGAATGGAACGTTTATAGGAAGTCCTTCAAACGGATAGGTGTTGGACCCGATGGTTTTTGCGACGTTTAATATAATTGCTAAGTTTGCAAGATTCATCGGTAACTTCTAAACAAATGTAAGAAGCCTTTCCAGTGTCACAAGCTTGTCATGTTTTCTTGTATTTGTCGGGATGGCACAATTTTCTAGCCATATGTCAATGACGTCTGCTTGAATGTTGTTTTGATGCTCATTGCTGTCCTATGTCGTCGTGGATAAGCAACTGATCCATTGCATTTTGCTGTCCCGTCCATTTACATTCGGAATCATATCGATTGTTTAGTATCAAATCTCTCTATATTATCATTTGAAGTCTATCTTTTGTTGAAATCCACCTAGCTGTGATAACCGTAATATGTTTCAAGGTTTTTACCTCTGTTTCAATTGACAGATTGTTCTATTATTTTTTTCTATCTATTTCAGAAAAGCATCACAATGCCAGTAATTGAAGGTGTCGGTGATGAAGTCTTCCATGTTCTCCTTATTGCCCTAGTTGTCATTTTGGGCATAGTGGGATGGTGGTCAACAAGCATCTCAGAACAACCGTTAATTCGAACTGTGCTTATACTTGAGCCTCGACACCATTCAAGTCCAGAAATTACTCCTACTGTTCCAACTCCTAGCCCTCCCCAAGATACTGGTCAAGCTGACTCTGCAGCTCCTAATGATGTTCACGCTGAGGCTGTGCCAGTGCCCAATACTTCAAGTGCGTCAAAAAATCAGAGCCAGAACTCAGCAGAACCGTCAGAGTCAGTACCGCTGGCAGGAAGCACTGACGCTCCCTCAAGTTCTAGCCTAAATCCAGAGGTTGCTGGGACCTCCAGCTGCCCAGATCTTCCTCCTGCCAATAGCACATCACATGATGCAACCAATAACTCAGATAATGGAGATCAAGGTGGTGGAGATACTTCAGCTGAACCATCTAACAGTGCGAATGAACTTAGAAGGAGAAGGCTTCAGTTTTTTGAAGAAAGGCAGGGACCTGAAAATGCTACCAGTACATGTTCTCAGACAGCTGATTTGCCTATCAGTGAAAGTCTTGAAAGTACAGATACTGGTGGTTTTTCCAGTAATACCCTAGGACTTTTAGAGCAACAAGATTCGGCAACCGAAACAACAGAGAATGAAGAGTCCCCATCAAACCCATGCCAAGCATGTGATGATATTCGAATCAAGCTGAAATTTCTGAATGACAACCAGAAATTAGTGCAAGGAAAGCTCCAAGAACCATTAGGTGATTTCAAGAGGTATGCCCTTGGTGATTAAAGTGGGTTTTGTACTTCCTTCTGCTTTTGCTGTTTTAATTTATTTTCATCCTCTTTTTTTAGACGTAACTTTGCTGTTGAATTAGCAGCTCGCAAAGTAATAAGACTTATTTTTAATGGACAAGTTTTGCAGAGTGATGATAGAACACTTCAAAACTATGGGTTATTTGATAACTGTGTTGTTCACTGCCTGGTCCATAACCAACGCACCTCAAACTCAAATGTGGACAATGGCACAAATAGCAATGTAAGTTCTTTGAAATCATGCGTCTTTAAATTTCTTTTTATTATTCTTGCTAATACCATTTTTTATTTTTTTTAGATTGGAGAAGATGTACAATTGGGTGGAGCTGATGCAGGTGATATGAGAGATTGGGATCTAAGCCATGTATTGTACATATCCATGTTTGTAATGCTGTCTACTGCCTGGTACCTTCGTATAAATTTTTCTCAATTTTTCTCGGCCACTGCAACAGTAGCTCTATTTGGTCTCTCAGGAATATTCATTATTTTCCTCGTTGGGGCATACATTCCAGATCAAGATATTGTTTTGCGTACCTGATTGTGGGAGGAGGCGGCTGTTGTAAGCCGTCTCTTGTGTGTTTTTTGGATTCACATGGTATACTTCATGTCAGTTGTAGTAGTAACAGGACATGCAGTAAATCGTCATTATCTGTTTAAGTTGGCAGAGATATGTGATCACTGGATTTAGAGACTAAAATTTTCCAGAAGTAAATTTTTTGAACCTTAATCTGTTATCAGCAAGCAGCATAAAAATGTGACCACAGTCCCCTATAAGTTTTTAACAGTTTCATTAAAAAAAAAAAAAAAAGAGGTAACAAATCATGCAAAATTGCAATGTGCAAATTGTGCCCCCAAAAAATAACTATTAGTAACAGAATTGAAGGTTTTTTATTTTCAAATTTGTTTTGCTTCAATTTATGTTTCTTGGGTAGCCTCCATTTAGTTGCTTTCAACTGAATAAATTACTACATTAGTTTCTACGCAATTGTAGCATAGATAATATTGCCCATCACTCATGCTAGAAGTCCTTGGTGCTCAAAACTTAGTTGGTTAGTATTGTAGAGTAAAAGATTCAAAACTGTGTGTGAATCCTATGCCTTCGGTTATCATTCTCACCCTTGTACTTTCCCTTTTTGTGGGTGCCCATTCATGGTCATCTAGTTCTCCAGTTGGAATTCACAAAACCTTAATTAAAACTGTCAGTTACCATTGTTATATATTTTGATGTTAGAATGCAGGTATTGTTTGTTATTTGAATATATTTGACATGTTAAGTGAATGTAACCAAAGGAAGTGAAATGTGTTTGGCAAAATGAGGCTGTTGTGAGTGCTTTATATCTAAAAATTCAAAACATGTTTGTTAATCTATATCTTTTTTTTTTTTTTTTTTTTACAAAATCTTTTCTTTCTGTTATGTGCCAAGATTTTCCCTGTGAAAGTCTGCATCTGCTAAATTTATTTAAGATGAAATTTTTTCATAAAGTCTATCTTAAGCTAAAACTGTTGTTTTAAGATCTGACCCACCATTCCTTCTCCTTTTCCCTCTGTCAACTATTTGTCGCTGGCTCTTTTATCCTTATGAATTTTTGGGGAACTCTATAACTTTTTTCTTCTACCTCAAGATTCATTGAGAATGGACCTTATTTCCAACTTCCTCTGCTGCATGTTAATCGTAACTCTTTAAAGGAAATCACAGTATAACGGCTATACTCCCTATAAACACAGATTGAAGCAGCTCACCTGGGTTCACTACACTAGGAATTAATTTGCTACTTGCGGTTCATTTCCATTTTTACTCACGCCCACAACAACACAGTACACACACTGTCCTGCGACCGCTGACTTAGTTAGTGAACCTTAAGGAAATCACAGAAGAGAAGTTACTCGTTAACGGACAAATAAGGCCCGTCTTGTTCTCAGGCGGCGCGCGGCACCCTCAGCCCGTGGTCCTCCTTCACCATGTCGGCCGCCTTCTCGGCGATCATGTACGTGGGCGTGTTGGTGTGGGCCGCGGGCACGGCCGGCATGATGGACGCGTCCGCCACACGCAGGCCTCGGACGCCGATGACCCGGAGCCGAGGGTCCACGACGGAGTCCTTGTGACCCGCGGGGCCCATCCTGCAGGTGCCGCTCTGGTGGTAGATGGTGAGCGGGATGTGGCGGATGTGGCACCGCCAGTACTTACGGGTGCCGAACCTGGCGACAAAACCACGACACGGCATTATATGCGTCTGCTGCCACTTGCAGCAGGGACTTCCCCCGCCTTGTAACACAACGCGCGCTTGTATCGGACCTGAACTTGGCGCATCCCGGCAAGGGCACGTCAAAGATCCTAGCATCGATGGCCCTCATGGAGGGCATCTCGAGTAGGCGCTGCACTGCGAGGACGCCGTCGACCAAGGTCTCCAGGTCCTCGGGGTCGTCGAAGTAGTTGGCGTGGATGAGCGGCTTGGCGGTGGGCGAGCGCGACCTGAGGCGCACGGTGCCGCGGCTCTTGGGCCTCAGCAGCATGGGGAACACGGTGCAGGACGGTGTCCTGCAAAAGGACATTGCAGTCAACTCAGCCTGGACTCAGCATAATATGTCTTACCTCCGTCAGCAGCATCGGCAAAAAATGTGGAACGCTTCACGATTTTGCGTGTCATCCTTGCGCAGGGGCCATGCTAATCTTCTCTGTATCGTTCCAATTTTAGTATATGTACCGCCGAAGCGAGTACATGTAGCGGTGTGAAAGCAATTGTATATATACCACACAAGCTGCATGGGAATCATCCGCGGCAAGCCTCCACGTTTCAATTTGAATAACTTAAGAACCACGCAATGGATTTTCAACTGTGATAGCTCAAATTCAAGGGTTTCTGTAGCTTAACGCATCTCAAAAGAAGTTTTCCTGATCTTTGATACCAAAGTACATAAATTTATCTATCAAAATCGACAAGCTCGCGCACTGATTCGATGCCATCGCCATCTAGCGGCCGCAGGGTGAAGCAGTGCCCCCCCCCCCTCTCTCCCTCAGCGCCAGCTACGCCGCGCCACTCCACAGCCACGCCACGCCACACCACGCGACAGCGCCGCGCCGGCCGCGGCCGCGGCCGCGAGACCTCACGACCTCACCCAGGACTGCCAGGACTCACCTCGCAAAAGGCTTGTAGACCTTAGAGTACAGGTCATCGGCGATCCCGAAGTTGTCCTTGAGCAAGGGCTCGTCGATAAGTGACCCCGATGCCATCAAAAGTTCGATGTCGGGCCACTCGCCGTGCTCGCCGCTGCAGGACACCAGGACACAATGAGCGTTATGGACCGTTAGGATCCCCACGACGCGATCCTGGACGCCGGCGGTCTCACCTGGTTGCGTTGGCGCCGGTCCTCCGGACGCGCAGGAAGCCCAGGGCCTCCGTGCCGCCGGGGAGCGTCATCGGGCCCGTGCGGTGCACGGCGTACTCGCTGAGGAGGTCCAGGTTGTCCAGGAGGCGCTCCACGCTCACCGTGAAGCCCGCCTTGGCCCCTATCGTGTACATGAGCCCTCCGGCCGCCACGTGGTCCATCAGGTTGTTGCCCACGGGGAGGTCCACCGCGGGGGCGATGCCCATGGACTGCAAACCGAGCGCATAACGCTGTCACAACCACATGGCCAATGAAAGTAAGGGGGCTCCATTCTAGTCCAGACGAGGGGGTAGTAGTAGGCCTAAGGGGCGTAGTGGGGGAGGGAGAATTCCCTCCCGATTCTGCCGTCTACCGCCTCTCACTGCTCTCACCACCGCCTTACGGCCCCGCGCGAGTCTGCAACCCGTCCGCACGCCTGCATACGGTACAGTGTGTAACCAGGGAAGAACGGCGACTCCTACGGGCCACCCTGTAATTCCTCATGGGCGCTATCGTGAGTCACTGGGTGGGCCGTGCCCGCGGTGGCCACATGCTGGTCACGCACCTGCAGGTGCTGCCGCGGCCCGATGCCGGAGAGCATAAGCAGCTGCGGGGAGTTGATGGCGCCCGCGGCCAGGATCACCTCTCGCCGCGCGCGCACCACCCGCCGCCGGGACTCGCCGTCGCGGACGAACTCGACGCCGTACGCCGTCCTGGAGGCCGGGTCCACGAGCACCCGCGTCACCCGGCTCCACTTGCTGACGTGCAGGCCGCGCCGCCGCCGCGCAGGCTCCAGGTAGGCGCGGTTGGAGCTCCACCGAGACCCGTTGCGCATCGTCACCTGGCAGGGAAGGCATCGGAGGCTGTGGGATCGTGCGGTAGAGGTTTTGCAAAGGGGGGGGGGGTGAAGTTTTCACAAGTATCCTCCCCGCATCAGCATCAGTGAGTCATGTAGGGTGGTCCAAGGTCCCAGACCGGAGCGCCGTTTAGTTATACTGTACCGCATGCAGGCGTGCGGGCGGGTTGCATACTCCGACGGCGCCGGTGAGCGACGCACGCCTGCATCCGGTGCAGTATAACCAGGCGAAAGAACGGCGCTGACGGCCCACCCTGTATTTCGGGGTCCGTGGGTGGCCACCACCTGTACAGTACCTGCAGGAAGGAGAAGCCGATCATGCTGGCGCCGTTGTAGTCGCGCTCGGGGAAGCCCATCTCGCGGCCGGCGCGCACGAAGGCCCGGGCCGGCGCCGACCTGAAGGGCGCGTGCGAGATGGTGACGGGCCCGCCCACGTGGTGGTGCACCGTGTCGGCGGCCAGCTCGGGGATGGTCATGTCCTCCATGCGGAGGAAGTAGGGCCGCACCGAGGCCCAGTCCCAGCCGGTGTTGCCCAGGCGTGCCCACTGGTCGTAGTCCTCGGGGTGGCCGCGCGTGTGGATCATGTAGTTGAGCACGCTGGACCCGCCCATCACCTGCCGGGGGCCGACAACGGCACGATGAGAGCTGGGCGATAAGGGCACCGGGGCGACACGAGCAGCGGCACACACGCGCAGTGTACCACAGACATTTGACCTTCCCGACTCGTGTAAGATTAAATCCGACAAATAATAAGATCAGTTTCGAGGTTTGGTAACGCTTTTCAACGGAAAATGCGGACTAACGCCGGACCACTTCCCCTCCTCTACCTCTCGCCCATCCCCTCCCCCCTTGCCGTCTATCTCCCCTTCTCTGTAGTGTGATGTTGAGAGTGGCGCGAGAATAACACAGCGTTACGTGTTCAATTTCACCCCTCATCTCCTCTGCATCCGGCTCATATCGGGGCGCGAGCAAAAGCTCTCCGGGCCCGCCGCGGGCTCCGAGCCAGCCCCGCGGCCGCTCCGCCGAATCCGTCGGGGTCCCGGTGCGCTGCCGTGTTGCCGTTGCATGTGGTTGCATCGCCTGCCTAATCGGAGATCAAACTTGAGGCTCAGACGTCGACAAACCCAGATGAGAGCATGAGTGTAATAAGTAACATTTTGGGGACCATGGGGGGGGGGGTCCGGTTAATCGCCCGGTTGCTAGATTTTTTGTTCGGGTGTCGTGCGTGTCGTGACGGTCGTGACTCGAATCTCTCATATGTGGCGAGTGGTGGATCACGTCGGCGTCGGTGCACAAATGTCTCTGGTAGCACCCCCCCCCCCTCTCTCCTTTCCTCAGATTTCTATAAGGCCACCTGGCCCACACCTTGGCATAGCGACCCCCCCTGGATCCCCCGCTCGTCCTTTGGTGAACGTTGGCAGGCATCCACTCGACGAGGAGCAAGTGCGTTGACTCAACAATGAGATGCACCTTCCCACGACGAGCTCGCGACGGCCAAGGACGCCCGATGCAACCGTCGTTCGTAAGAAAGCGTGGCGCTTCCCTGACTGCATTACAAAGGCTCCTTGGGCTTCTGTGGCACCTGGGGGTAGGACACCCCACGCGGCACAACCCTGGCGCGGTGCGCATGGCCCCGCCCGCAGTGGGTGTCGGGACTTCCCCCGCGCCTCGCAGCTCAACTCGGCTAACTACTGATGTCATTCGCATTATGTAAACCGTAAATGTGACGGACATCTACAACTGGGACGTTGCCTGTCCCCGCACTCACCTTTCCTCTGGGGAAGTTGCAGCGCTTGTCCACCATGCCGAGGCATGAGCCGTCCGACGGCTCCGTGCGATACTTCCAGTTGGCGGTGCTGAACTGGAGCAAGTTCGCCGCCAGCGGTATGTCCATGGCGATGTTCTCGGCGCCGCCGGCCTCCAGCAGCAGCACTCGCCAGCCGGGCACCTCGCTGAGGCGGGCCGCGAGCGTGCAGCCGGCCGTGCCCGCGCCCACCACCACCACGTCGTACTCGGGCAGCACGGCCTCGCGGTGCGGGGGCTCCTTGGGGCTGCGGTCGTACAACTGCGTCGCCTCGTAGAGCAGGCTCTCGGTCAGAGTGTACATGTTCGTGTTCGTCCCCAGGGCAGCCGAGGCCTCCACCAGCAACAACATCAGGACCAGCATCGCGGTGTCTGCGAGGCCCGCGCGCTGCTCTCCCGGTCCGCGGCCGCGATGTGCTTTCAGGGTGGAGGGTGGCTCCCGAACTCAGCTGCCCAGCCGGACCCAAACTCACCACAAACATCGAGAAGGGATAGCGGGATAGATATGCCCATGCCCATCCCCTCCAAACTCGTCTAGACTCTACTCTCGCGCTCCTCTCACCTCTCAGGTCTGGACCCCAGCCGCACTCTCAAAACGAGCTGCAACCCTTGATAGCGATCCGCTATTCTTTGAACTCAGACTTGCGCAGGCCCTCCAGGTAGGCATTACAACTTGCAACTTTTTCGTCACTCTCAGATTATTGACAGGCTCAGTTGGTCGACGGCCGGTCGTAGTATGTTTTGCCTACCCATCAGGAGTTCGTTGAGGTGCTTAAGAGAGGGAAGGGAGGGTGGGAACTCTACTCTGCCTCTTAAAATGTACTTTGACTTGGGAAATTTGTCAGCAAAAAAATATCAGGTTCATTGTGAGAAAATGAATTTTATTTTGAAAGAAGCAAGTTTTTACATGGCTTCAAAATCTTTGTAATACATTTCAAAATGGAATTATAGGCTTTGAGACATGGTGATAACAGAAAAAAGGCATACTGAAATATGTTTACCAACAAAACTGCGCAAAAATTTTAAGCGTAGATTGAACAAATGGAAATGCATAGAAAATTGTTCAGGCAAGACTCAAAAATGCTTCCTTTCATTGATAAACACTACTTAGTTCAGGCTAAAGTAACTTTGGCTCACAGAGTCAACTATATACATATATTTAATAAAAGACCATGATACCGGTAAAAAATAAGCAAGTTCAAAAAAGCTCTAAACTTTGAAATTTTTAAAAAGAACATTTAATACTTGAACATCAGTACAGTATACGTTCTATATAAAAGAACACGCTCTCAATAAAGACTAGACATATCTATATGATGATTATCACAACTAACAAAGCCCTATCATACCAATAATTTTTGTAAGAATCATGTACCTTAGTAAGCATTTAAATACAGGATCATCACAAAAGCTTCCCCTTAAAAAATGTACAACAGAGTGTTTTGATATTGAGCAATTTATAATAAGAGTTACACCAGTAATCTCATAGTAGTTAAACAGGAATATTATTTGCCTTTTATCTAATGATTAGGTAGTTTATGTAAAAATTTACAGGTTACAAAATACAAATGAAATAAATCACAGAAAACTTTTGCGCATCAATATTTCTTAGGTACGATCAAAATTGATTTACAGTATTAATTTTTAATTGTTATAACCTTAATCATGAGTTGGAATACAGCTACCTCCTTCATTCAATAAGACGAACCATATCATATTTGATGATTGAACAGTGTATGTAATAGCAATATCAGAAAACAAAAATTTTCTTGCCATACATAAAAAATACCTTAAACACATACAAATCCAAGGAAAATTCAGCAATGGAATAGGTAAAATACATTGACTAAATGTAAAGTCACAGTCTTCAAAAGATACAGTTCTTTAAAAAGGTATGGATTTTTGTGACAAAGACAGTTACCAGGTAGCAGCGGTTGAAATGTTAATCACGCACAGGTACCTACATAAAATATTGCCCAAAGAAATCCCAGATGTCTTTAAATTGGGTACAGTAAAATTTTACCAACAGATTAATCAACAATAATAATAATAATATTGGTATATAACAATTGCAACACAAGATATTGCAATTGAGACTGCCTTCTTCATCTGAACACCAGCTTTCAAAGCACAAATAACACCATAGCATAAACTAGCCATCATAACAGAAAATTAAAAGTAAAACCAAACAACAATCAAGACAGAAAATGGAATGACAAATATTCTTTAGAATTTGTGTTATTTCTTACATAATAGTGTCATTGTGAATTCAGTTCAAACCCAGGAAAAAAGAAAGGGAAATAGAATGATAACAGAGTGGTGAATAGAAAAGGAAAGAACTGTAATAATTAAGCACAAGATTCGGTTTTGTAGAAGTACCATGGTTTTGACCAATGATTGAATGTTGGTATAAAATACAAGAAAGGTCTTTATAATAAACCATACTCATATAACATAAATGCAAAAGCAGAATATAGAAGCGAGAAAGCTTTAAGTGCCAAATGATGATTAGGTAAGAAATAGTTTGAAGCAAATGAGCAGCCTCAGAAATAATACAAAGGTAACTATTATCACAGTTGGATAAAACTTTGAGGTGAAAAGAATACCCACAAAAACATTTTGGAACATTTCAAACTTGATATGCAGAGTGCAAAATAGAACAACCATCACCAAATTCATAATAAAAAGAATAAAACTCTTCTTTAAAAATAAAAACAACAATAGATAACACAACTTTGTGCATTAGCACATACAATAGAAGATGCAAAGCTGTTTCAAAACAGCACATGATAAGGATGAAGGAAAAATAATCAAAAGGACAAGCATCTATGATCTCACAAAGCATCAACAGAAGGAAAACAATTTTAAAATAGAGGTTTGCTACTCTTTAGTCCTTGAAGAATTCCTATTCATACAGCACGAAGCTCTTTGTAGAGGTTTGACTGATTGAAGATCAACAACTTCGCTTTCATAGTGACGGTCCATTTTTTCTTCAAACTTCATCCATCGATCAACAGCCATTTGAAAGGCCAATTCTACATTGATGGCATCTTTGGCACTTGTTTCAATAAATGGAGGGTTTCCATTTTCTTTGCACCAGTTTCTTGCTTCTTCTTGGGTGACCTGCCTTCCTTCCTCGGCTACATCAGCCTATGTCAAATGGAAACAACTTTAATTTTCCTCTAACGGAAAAGAAATAGTAAAAGTTGATAGACTTTCACAATACCTTGTTTCCCACAAGAATAAAAGGAAAGTTTGATCCTTCTTTCACATCAGCATAGGTCAAGAACTCCTTGCACCACATTGATACATCTTTAAAACTTTTTTGGTCATTCACGGCATATGTTATGAGACATACGTCTGATCCGCGATAAAATGGAGTGCGTAAGCTTTTGAAGCGTTCCTGACCAGCTGTATCCCAAATCTGGAAAATTATGAGAAAATGTGTTTAATGTAATATTATCTGCTATGAGGTGAGTTTTTACCTTTCTTTGACAATGCATCTATTCTACTTACCTGCAATGTATAGGTTTCACCATTAATTTCCAGGTCCTTGTTAAGAAACTCTACTCCAATAGTATGAAACGAATTCTGATCAAAGTGGTTGGAAACAAAGCGGTTCATCAAACATGACTTGCCCACTCCTCCATTGCCAAGTATCACCACCTTAAGAAGAACATTCTTGGATGTGTTCAAGCGTTTCCCAGCTAAAGGTGTTCCACCCGCACCAAATCGGTTCCCACTTCCACGTCCAAGGACAACATTGTTACCAGACATTGTAACAAGTTATCTTGTTAAAAGTCAGCCATACAGCAGATTTCATCTGAAATAGATAAAACCAATCTATTGACAAACAAAGTGCAGCCATTATGCCCTTGAGTATGGACTATGACTCACACATTCACAGAAGTTAAAATCAAAACATTGCAATTTCTAAGCAAGTTGACATAAAATGTTTCAATAAGCACTCAAATCTTGACGAAAGTTTGTTTCGTGTAATAACTGTAATTAATTAAAAGTTAACCAAACTAAGCTAGAGACTCACCCAAATCTAATGAATGAAACCACAATATGTGTTTCGAGCCATGTTGTTTCGTAAAATACGTGGCAGTACTCGTCAAATAGATGGAATAAACAATTTCCACTTTGTTTCACACGTATGTGTCAACTGCTTCTACAAACATAAATAAATAACTTATTCACGCGAACTAACACCATCTCTTCTAACCTCCTCGTCGTATCTGTCACCTGTCACCACCCCCGTCGTCTGCTGTAACAATCCCAGTATGGCGGATTTTGCGGTCCTTTAATTTTGATGTGCTCTCAACAATTTTAGTAGAAAACCATGTATCCCAAACTAGGGCTGGGCATACCACTGGGACATATCGTAATGCCGCAGAACAACAGGACTGCAAGAAAGTCCTTCCTTTGTGGTACTTCTGTTCAACTTAATGACTTGACAGGTTGTCGTTTGACAATCTGCTATCAAATTTCAATTTGCTCTAAGGATTTGTTTTAAAAAGAGGCAACCGTATAAGAAAAGATTTTTTTTATTCATACATATATACATATATCAGATATAGACATCATATAAAGGACACACATATATATGTATACCAAACACAAAAACATTGAACAGTTCGATCAGCTTACTATCTCTTGTAACAAACATATTCAATATTGAAGTGTTTAACAGTGATCTTACTGAAGTGACAAGTACTTATATAATAAGTACACTGCCTCATTATCTCAATTTTACACCAACATTGTTTCAGTTCAAATAAATATACATAGCGCTACTTCAGATAACACTAATGGGATAGAGAAGTTAAAGTATCAATTATTACAGAAATTGCTTGTACTAACAGAGGTGCCAAAATCTTTACAGTATCTTTGGCATCTCTGAAAATAAATAATGCAGCAGGGGTTCGGAATGAAATAAAATGACACGGGACACATCACAGGGTATCAGTCACACTAGCCGGGAGGCACCATAGTAATTTCAGTCCTTAGGTGCTTTGTCTTCTAGAAAAAAAAAATCTTGTGGTCAAGGGCTCCATACAACTGGAGTACTTAAACACAAGAAGCAACACACAAGGACCCAAGAGCAAACCACAGAATACTGTGACAATAATTAAAAAACACTAGGTATGGAGATGATTTCTAATGTGATGAATGGATTGCTCTGGTGCTAGTGTGTTGTAATTGAAGATAAATTTGGACTTTAGGACAGCAATTTCAAAGATTTAAAATTCAGTTCATCGTTGTGCTCTACTGGAAGCATTGCAAAGGTCTTCCCCATAGAGCAACAGCCCCTTGTGCTCTGTCAAACTATTTTACAAAATAAATCACAGCTGGTCCAGCACAAAATCAAAACTTGTCAATGTCTTGGCTGTTCACTTTGTTACTGTCTTCAATTCCACAAACTTGAGCCAATTTGTGACCCAAGGCAATTAATTAAAATTCTCCTAAATTGAGGTTGGCAGTCTTAAAGCTCGTCCTTCAGTTCATCATCATCAGCATTGCTTGGTGGAGGTGCACCACCTGCTCCACCAGCACCCTGGTACAACTTGGTAATAATGGGCTGTACAACTTCTTCCAATTCCTTCTTCTGCTTCCTGTAAGCTTCAGTGTCAGTGTCCTGGTTTTCATCAAGCCACTTGATTTTCTCCTCAATTGCCTCTTCCATCTTGGTTTTGTCAGAATCGCTCAGCTGCAAGGAAAATTAATAAAAATTTGAACAATGGAAAATATTGCATTCTGAAATTTTAAAAAGAGAGAAGGTATTACATGAAAATTTAACAGTAGCAATATTTACCTTAGCTCCCAATTTGTCCTTGTCACCAAGTTGGTTCTTGAGAGAGTAGGCATAAGACTCAAGTTCATTCCTGGCTTCTACACGCTCCTTCAGTTTCTTGTCGTCATCAGAGAACCTCTCAGCATCCTTGATCATGCGGTCAATGTCCTCAGGAGTGAGCCTGTTCTGATCATTGGTGATGACGATCTTTTCACGGTTGCCAGTTCCCTTGTCCTCAGCAGACACCTAGTAAAATTGAGACACATGGTCAAAGCTTGCAAGGAGATGCCCATGTACAATATAGAAAACTAGAGTAGAAATGAAATATTTACCTGCAGAATACCGTTGGCATCAATTTCGAAAGTGACCTCAATTTGGGGAACACCACGTGGAGCAGGAGGAATGCCAGTAAGATCAAATTTGCCAAGCTGGTGGTTGTCCTTGGTCATGGGACGTTCACCTTCATACACTTGAATGGTAACAGTGTGCTGGTTGTCAGCAGCTGTTGAGAAGATCTGTGACTTCTTGGTAGGGATGACAGTGTTGCGGGGGATGAGCTTTGTCATTACACCTCCAACAGTTTCAATACCCAGGGTAAGAGGGTTCACATCCAAAAGGACAATAGCATCAGTGTCTTGTTCACCAGAGAGAACACCAGCCTGGACAGCTGCACCATAAGCAACCTACAAAATGAAAAAAAAAAAAAATGGTTAAAGAGTTGATAGACAAGAAAATGCCTTCCAAGGCAAATCCAAATTAACAAATAAATGTGTTCAAGGATAAAAACTTACAGCTTCATCAGGGTTGATACCACGGGAAGGCTCCTTGTTGTTGAAGAATTCTTTCACGAGTTGTTGAACTTTAGGGATACGAGTGGAACCACCAACCAACACAATTTCATCAACATCCTTCTTGTTCATGTCAGCATCTTCCAGAACCTTCTGAACTGGCTTCATTGTGGAGCGGAAAAGATCCTGTGGGAGAGAAGAAAAGTGTTAAGTATTTTGTTGCACCTGACATTAATTTCACAAGAACAGGTTTTCATGTAAACTGACCATGTTGAGCTCTTCAAACTTGGCACGAGTAAGAGTTTCAGAGAAGTCATCACCCTCGAAGAAGCTTTCAATTTCAATGCGGACTTGGTGGCTGGAGGAGAGGGCACGCTTGGCCTTTTCAACCTCACGACGGAGCTTCTGGACAGCACGGTTATCCTTGCGGATGTCTTTGCCCTTCTTCTTTTTGTACAGCTTGATGAAGTGGTCCATAACTCTTTGATCAAAGTCTTCACCACCCAAATGGGTGTCACCGTTGGTAGAAACAACCTGATGGAAAAGTGTACAAATTAAAATACTGAAATATTTCAAATGCTTAGAACTGAAAACTGCAAAAACTCAAAAGGACAAAGCTTAGAAATGAAAGGCTAAATTTTATAAATACAGTGCAACTTTAAAGTCAGCTTACCTCAAAGACACCATTATCAATGGTCAGCAGGGAGACATCAAAAGTACCACCGCCAAGATCGAAAACAAGGACATTCTTTTCGCCTTCACGCTTGTCCAACCCGTAGGCAATAGCAGCAGCAGTAGGCTCATTGATAATACGCATAACATTCAGGCCAGAGATGGTACCAGCATCCTTGGTTGCTTGACGCTGGGCATCATTGAAGTAGGCAGGGACGGTGACAACAGCATGAGTGACCTGAAGTGAGGTAAACCAAGGATTAACAACAGCACTTATCAAAAATCACTTAATAAGAAAGGACAGAAATCTACCTTCTTTCCAAGGTAAGCTTCAGCAGTTTCCTTCATTTTACCAAGAACCATGGCAGAGATCTCTTCAGGTGCAAAGGTCTTGTCTCCCTGTCCAGTCTTCACAACAACATGGGGCTTGCTATTCTTCTCAATCACTTTGAATGGGAAGAACTTAATGTCAGCCTGGACAGTGGCGTCCGTCCATTCACGTCCAATCAGACGCTTTGCATCAAAGACGGTGTTCTCAGGATTGGAGGTAAGCTGGTTCTTGGCAGCATCACCAATCAGACGCTCACCCTCAGCGGTAAAGGCCACATAAGAGGGAGTAATACGGTTACCCTGGTCATTAGCAATAATTTCAACGCGGCCATTTTTGTAGACACCAACACTGAAATCAAAATCAATGAATGAAATGGAGATGTTTAAGAATCTAATTGAAGAATTATAATTTCAAGAGAGTGGAGCTAGCAACTAGCTAGCAACTGTCGATAGCCAATGTAGCATGAATTGACTTTAAAATATACTTGCACTCACCAGGAGTAAGTTGTTCCCAAATCAATACCAATAACAGTGCCAACCTCCTTGGCCTTGTCTTTCTCGTCTTTGGAAGCCAACGAGTTGGCAACCAGTAAGCACAGCACACTGGCTAGGATTAACTTCATGGTGGAACACCTGAAACAGAAAAGAGAGAGCAGAGAGTAAGACACAAGCTGAAGTATACAGAATTTCATTGGTCGGGACGAAAGAAGTTAACAGTGACTCAGAAAATTTTGCCACATCACACCCTTCAGATCCAAGCTTGGTTCATAATGGGATCTATTATGCATGAAAATCAAATTAAAAAATTGAACGAATGTAGAGAACTGAGGTCTACAGTCAAGAAATGGAAGTAATAATTGAAAATAAGCTACAAACTTCATAAATAAAAACGTCAATTCCTAAGTACTGACGTGTCGGCTTTGAGGGAGGCACTACACACAACTGATGGCCGCAGGTTAGAATACCTTCGTCATTTATAATTAATTGTTTTAATAAAAAGTGCTACTTCGCAAAACCCAAAATCAGTTACAAATGATATATGCTACTTTTCATTTACGATTTTCTTCCACAAACTTAACACACTAGCACCCGTCGAGCACAAGCAGAAACACACGTCAAACAACCAGCAGCAGAATAACCGGCGACGGTCAGGCACTTCATTGGCTTCAATACACAAGATATTATATAAGGTAAAACTGAAATACACACGCACCAGAAATCAATGAGTTGTCTTGACACGTCCACTGGACAGAGTAACGAACGAAAGCGCTCAATCCACAGTAGTGATCTGTCTAACGGTCTGCACGGCGACGAAGTAAGTCCACTTCTGCTCTGCTATCCCGAATATCAATGCCAGAAAGTTCCCCACCGCGCATGTGGCCCGCCGCCATTGGTCGAGCCCGGTGACGTTTCACTACGAGCGCGCCTGTGATTGGCCCGCTGCTCCGCAGCTGGCTCGCGCTCATTGGCCCACGTTGGTCCGCGGAGGCTTGGGCCCGTTTACGCCCCGTGAACCGTGGGCCGTGCAAGCGGAGTAACGGCAGGTAACGCCGCCGGTAACGGATAAACGGGTACGAGGGGCCTAAGCGGACGGGGGACGGGACGGGCAGCTCAACAGGGGACGAAAAGGGACAGGGGCGGGGCGGGTCCTTCAGGAATCTGCCGGAAACCTGTGGCATGCCTTATGTGTCTTACAATCAGATGCTTTGCAACTTGACAGTAAGGTCGGTTGGGTCTGGGTCGGGTACTCTCCTTAACCTGTTCAATACACATGGGGAATGGGACACGTAATGAAACGAAATATGACGACGTGGTCGAATTAGGGAAACCGTAGATAATCAATGTTAGCCAACACTTCTACATTATGCAAGTGCATGGAAGCAAGTAAACGGTCGGATGACGAGGCTAGAACAACTTTTTTCTCCATTCCATAAAAAGGGCTATCGGTCGCGTTTCACCCCATTTTCTTTCTGCCCGCTCAGCCGGGCGTGTCCCGACCTGATATCACGACACTGTTGTGGATGAAATAAAATCTCATACGGCCATATTTCACTTCTTTCCATTGTAACTGGTTGCACAAATATTTCCTAAAATTTATCTCATTTCTCATTTGCTTCTTAAGCGAGGTTTTGGGAGAAAATCCTTAAAGAAGAACATTGCACAAACCAATATTTTATGAACAATTAATTCTTTAATCTAAATTTCAGGTCATTGGAAATGAGTCATACAGATGATGCAACACCTACTGGACATGCAGCCCGCACCCTATCTGAAGAAGATAGACAAAAACTTAAGAAGCAGGACAGCCGGTTGGTTTCCTCATTTCAAGCCCTCCAACTAGAGAAGAATGCCAAAAAGCACTGGGATCTCTTTTATAAACGGAATGAAACTAGATTTTTTAAAGACCGTCACTGGACCACGAGAGAGTTTTTTGAACTTGTAGGTTCCGCTGATGAAACTCGAACTCTTTTGGAAGTCGGATGTGGCGTTGGGAACCTCATTTATCCCTTAATTGAAGAGGGAATGAACTTTTTTGTATACGCTTGTGATCTGTCGCCAAGAGCAGTAGATTTTGTCAAATCAAACGAAAAATATGATGAGACCAAAATGAAAGCTTTCCAGTGTGATATTACATCAGAAGATATTTTTACTGTCATACCCGACAACTCTGTGGACATTGTTACATTAATATTTGTTTTGTCTGCAATCCACCCAGACAACTTTGTTGTTACCTTAAGTAATATTTTTAAGATCTTGAAGTCAGGAGGATTATTACTGCTTCGTGATTATGGTTTATTTGACATGGCTCAGCTTCGGTTCAAACCAGGGAATAAAATCTCAGATAACTTTTACATGAGACAAGATGGAACAAGGTACTATATTTGATGTACAGTTATTTTCTTAGTGTTATCACTAACCATCAGTTTTTGTTTAACTAAAATTTAAATTATTTTCTACTATTTCAGGTCATACTTTTTTTCTGAAGAATGTCTAAAGGACTTATTGGTCCAATGTGGGTTTGAAGTCATAGAAAACTCTTATGTTCAAAGGAAGACAATTAATTTAAAAGAAGATATCGATGCTGATAGAGTTTTTATTCAAGGAAAATACCGCAAACCTCCTGTAGAGCAGGCATAAATTTAAATACAATAAATTATTTTCTCAAGCCCATCCAAAATTTATACATTACTTTATCTCCCCCTGTACTGACAACACACACACACACATGCTCGTTCCAAGTTCTGTTGAATTTGGAATATTTACCATAAAATGAAAACCAAACAGCTAGCTCAAGGAGCAGCCTCATTGGAGCCACTATTTGAAGTACGCGCTCCTGGCAACCGGGGAAGCGGAAGTTGTTTCGATTCTTACGTCATGTTTTTGTTCTTACGCAGACTCCATTGACTCCATTTTCAGCAAGCGCACTTTCTCGGAAGATTTGCGGATGGCTTGTTTACACCTCTAGTCTAGTCTAGTTCTGCAACGTGTGTGTGTTCTATTGAGTAGTTTCCCCTTGCCCTTCGAAACTTCAATTTCGCCACAATGGCGGACGATATAAAACTTGACATAGTAAGTGTTCGTTTGAATAATTCTCCTCCGTATGATGGAAAGAGAGAGATGGGACTGCCGAGTTATGATGCTGACGCTTTGTTCACCGTTTACCACTATGTCATTTACTTTGCAATCTTACCTAAATATATTGTATTGCTTTTCTTTGTCCTGTCCAAAACTTTGCATATCGGGCTAGAGCATGTGTGTTGTCCTCCTATGTTGTCATGGAAGAGAGGTCACACATAACCTCATTGATTCTATTATTTAACTCTAGAAACCTCTGCATTCCAAACGCTTGCAACCTGAAATATTTTGTTTAAAAAAATTTCTTAAAATAACGTTACCTCCATGTTGTAGTCTGGGAATCAAAGCAAAATCCAATTTACTCATTTGGCTTGCTTCCAACCAATCTGTACTGAATTCTTTGTTTTCATTGACAGGACTGGGGTACAGACAAATTGAACAGAGCCCAGCAAACCATTATAGATAGCCCCTATGATCTCGAAGCCTGGAGTCTACTTATTAGAGAATCGCAGTCAAGATGGATCAACGATGTTCGACCTTTATTTGAAAGACTTGTCTCAGTATTTCCCAGCTCTGGACGGTACTGGAAAACATACATTGAACAAGAAGTAAGTATCTTACTTGTACATTTACTCTTTTCTACCTTTACGAACTGGCTTAGTACTTTATCAGATTTACACCTTAAATGTTCTGTGCCATAACCACCTTGTTGTCAATTAACTTGGTTTTAAAAAGGCTTGAACTTGTTAATAGGTACAATACTGATTTTTTCTCTTTTGCTTTTGTTTGTTTTCAGATGAAAGCCAGGAATTTTGAGAAAGTGGAAAAGGTATGTTTTTCCTCACCATTTTCGTATCAGGTATCATGGTTCAGTCCTCAGTTTAGATTATTAAGCCCCGTAATACGTTAGATTTTTGTTTGTGCTGAGAAGTTTATTGAACTTTATCTATTCGCATTTGCTTTAAACCACAGACTGTGATATTAGTTAGAAACGTTAAGTTATAATCCAGATTGAGGAGGAAAACCATCACACCTAGTTTTACATTTCTTTAAATTCAGTCTTGGGTTGTGTGATGCTGCTCTAATTTTGGTTGAAATAAATACTGCTGCCGTGCACTCAGTATGTCTTCTTCTCAACCAGTTACACTTGGGTCACTTGTGAGTTTTTCAATCTTTACCCACTTGTCTTTGACTTCCAGACTGGTATGATATTTTAAGTTTCAACATCAGTTTAGGTCAGCCTACCAAAAACGATGTTTCAACTCATTTTTTAACACAGTATTTGGGAAGGAGGTCATTCATAGTCACCATAGGAACTAGGCCCTGCATTTCCGTTTCTTATACTTGATTCAATCAAAGATTGCCTTTGGAACTTGCTATTTCAAGTTTCTTATCCAACAGTTATAAAACTTCAAGATTTGTTTGATCAGTTTTAGTGCTAAAGAATTTCTACCTTTTCCGGGTGAAACAATCTGCTGGGACCCTTTACACTTTACCATCAAATGTGATTTTGAACTTCAATATCAGCCTTTGGAACACATTGTTTTGCACAAAATAGTTTGATGATCCATGTGCAGTGTGTATGTGTATAGATCTATGTTTCTCTCTGTGCATCTCTTGATCATTTTATACATATCATATTAAATGGATGGTTTTTCTAAGGCATGGTGGATGGTTTGTAGTGTGAACAAAATTGATTTTATTTTTTTAATATTGGCAGATTGTGTGGCTCTCATTTCTTGCCTGCACCCTGTTCCCCTGAAAAACAACACCTTTTTACACATGTTGACATTTTGGTTTTTATGGTCCCTGTTTTCTGTTTCTCCTAACAAAATTGTGATGAAAACTCAGCGACTGATGTTTTATTTTCTCACGCACAAGTTAAACACTTGCCCTATTCAAATTGCAGCATAAACCCCACATGAAGTTATTCCTCACAACTTCATCTTGGGGAATGGTAAATGAAATCCAATACATACATTTCATTGAAGACATGATGACTCATTCCATGCCCCAGTTTTTAGTTCCAATATTATTTCCTCTGTGGTGTAATGCTTTGTCATATTTTGTTGATGAAATTCAATACAAAGACTTAATAAACATTTAATTAGTTGACATGATGGTGCAAACATGCCACAATTTATTTTTAATACTTTGAACTCGAACGTTCTTGTGTTTGTGAATTTTACTCATGTGGTGGTAGATTCCTCCTGTATCATGAATAAAAAATGATAAGAAATTAACTTTGATTTTTTATCCCAGAACCATTTTGCATAATTTTCTGAACCGTAATTTTTCTGTCTTGGAAAGAGGGCTCGGAAAGTGGATTGTCTGTACTATGTAAAAGTAATAAATGATAGATTTCTTTAATCTTTTCTTTTTATTTAATAGTACTTGTGTTTTAATCCCTGTGTTCTCAGCAATTTAAATATCTCATAACAATTATTTTTATTAGAATAGTTTCTGATGGACCACCCCTTCTAGATAACTCCAGATCTCTTATTCTTTTTACATATAAGAATTGAGCGTCATATTCTATCTGAATCCTAAATTCCAACCATTGGAAGTTTAAGACGAAGGATGTAAATTCTGTCAACAGCATTGTGTCTTAATTTGTAATAGTATTTATACTGTAGACTGGGAGGTAATGAGATTGTCAAAATTTGCTTGTTGGGTTGATCATTCTCATTCGCTGATTTCAAACCTACTTGACCACAAATATTGTATAAATTTGGTTACTTTCAAATTTCTTTGTAGGAGATGAATATTAGCCAACTTATATCAAGACAAAGGCATTGATGTTTTAAACTCCTTCTCTAGGAATTTTATAGGTCTTAAAAACTGATTTATGGTCTGTACTTAAAAGAGTTAAAATCTCAAGAAGCATGTTTTTTGATCTTTTACAGTTGTTTCAAAGATGTCTCATGAAAGTCCTCAATATTGATCTGTGGAAGCTGTACCTTACTTATGTTAAGGAAACCAAAGCTTCCCTCTCTTCATACAAGTAAGCAAAGATCCAAAGGAGTTCCTCATTTACCCATCAAATGTCTCACTAATTATTAATAAATGCTAATCTTCAAATAGGGAGAAAATGGCTCAAGCCTATGATTTTGCTCTCGAAAAAATTGGAATGGATATCCAGTCATATGCTATATGGAGTGACTATGTGAACTTTTTGAAGGGTGTAGATGCAGTGGGCTCATATGCGGAAAACCAAAAAATTAGTGCAGTTCGTAAAGTAAGTCCTCTGCCAAGTAGCTTCTCCGTTCAGGAGCATCTGTTACATCGACTAAACACAATTTTGATTGATTTATCTAAAGAAATCAATACTTAGTTGTTAGTAAATATTTATGAATATTTCTCATTAGGTATACCAGAGAGGTGTTGTTAATCCAATGGTAAACATAGAGCAGCTGTGGAAAGACTACATGGCATTTGAACAAGCTATAAATCCAATAATTGCAGAAAAAATGGGTATGGAACGGTCCAAAGACTACATGAATGCAAGACGTGTGGCAAAAGAACTGGAAGCAGTTACTCGTGGTTTGAATAGAAATATTCCAAGTGTGCCCCCTATGGGAACATTAGAAGAGTTGCGACAGGTCAGTATTTTGATCAAGTATTTTAACTCTTAATGCTCCATTGTTTTGACTAATCAACGTTTTTTCCCCTTTTGTTCTGTTTGTTTTAGGTTGACTTGTGGAAAAAGTATATTGCGTGGGAGAAAAGCAATCCATTGCGATCAGAAGATACTTCTCTGGTAACTAGGCGAGTTATGTTTGCCTTTGAACAGTGTTTGCTGTGCTTAGGACATCATGCAGATGTTTGGTATGAAGCAGCTCAGTTTCTTGATCAGAGCTCCAAAATTCTAACAGAAAAAGGAGTAAGTAACTGTCACATATCTCCTCATCTGCTAGTCATATCACACATATTAATTAAAATCTAACTGCAGGATGTAACAGCAGCCAAGCTTTTCTCTGATGAGGCGGGAACAGTTTTTGAAAGAGCAACCAGTACACTTCTCAAGAGCAATATGCTTTTATACTTTGCATATGCTGACTTTGAAGAGGGAAGAATGAAATATGAAAAAGTGCATCAAATATATGAAAAGTTTTTAGAAATGGAAGATATTGACCCAACCTTGGTATGTTATCTAGTTGCATTGATATGAACAGCAGAAATGATGACCAACAAACTCAAAAAGTATCCGACAGCCAAATAACAATTATGCTTTTTTCCATTTCTCCAACATGTAGGCATACATTCAATACATGAAATTTGCCAGAAGAGCGGAGGGAATTAAATCAGCCAGGACAGTATTCAAGAGGGCTCGGGAAGATGCAAGATCACGCTTTCAAGTGTATGTAGCGGCTGCACTTATGGAATATTACAGCAGCAAAGACAAAAATATAGCCTTTAGAATTTTTGAGCTGGGTTTGAAGAAGTTCCCTGACAACCCAGATTATGTCTTGTGTTACATTGACTATCTCTCACATCTTAATGAGGACAACAACACAAGGGTCTTATTTGAAAGAGTCTTATCATCTGGAAGCTTAGAACCAGAGAAATCTGTGGAAATATGGAACAGATTTCTAGAATTTGAGTCAAATATTGGCGATTTAGCTAGTATTGTGAAGGTGGAAAGAAGAAGATCTGCTGTGTTGGAGAGTGTATGTATTCTCTTACAATTTTCCCTGACAAAAAAAGGCCACCCTGCATGTTTCAATATATCTTGGTCAAATAGGTCGTCAGCAATATTGTGATTACTAAACCCATGCTGCCACCTCTCTTCCCACACACTCGATATTCCCAACACCGTCTTTTTGATATGTCCCGCCCTCACCAACATCCTTCCCGCATGCTAAGACCCCAGTCCTCTAAGTCCCACACCTCCTACAGAGAGGTAGTGTATGTTTTGCCCTTGATACTTCCCAAGTGCTTTTTGTTTCCTGTGTTTTATAAACTTCAAATTGTCTGGCTGCTTTTAATAGCTTTACTTTTGTTTCTGTAGATCAAAGAATTTGAGGGAAAAGAAACAGCTCAACTGGTTGACCGATACAAATTCCTTGACTTGTTTCCATGTACAGCTTCAGAACTGAAGTAAGTGTCGGAAATTTCTATTCTCATCAGTAATTTTTTGATTTTTTGTTATGGGCTAATACTACAGTATTTTTATTAATGTTTACAGATCAATAGGATACAATATTGTGACTTCATCAAAGATTTACCATTCAGCATCTGCTGATGCAGATGATGAACCTACTATACCAAAACCAGATCTATCACAAATGGTTCCATTCAAGCCAAAAGCCAAAACAATTCCTGGTGATCATCCAGTTACCGGTTAGTATTTGAAGCTGGACTTGATCTTGAGACTTATGTCCTGCAATAAATACTTACCTTTTACCGTTTATTTTAGGAGGTGTCTTTCCATACCCACCAGCAGTTGCACAATTGTGCTCTGCCTTATGTCCACCTGAGTGTTTCCATGGTCCGTTTGTGGGGGTTGATACTTTAATGGAACAAATATTAAGATTAGATATCCAATGTAAGCTATCAACTAAAATTTTTGTTACCCTAATTCAATTTTTTCTTCTTATTTTTTAACAAGATGCATTCCTTCTGTTTAGGTCCATCTCCTTCAGGAGACAATGGTTATGATGTCAAACTTTTTGACGTTGCCAAAAGCATCCAGTACATTAATGGTGATGGAAACGGAGGCGACGGTTATGTTATTAAAAGGAAAAAGCGCCTTGGTGATGATAGTGATGATGATGACTCTGGAATTGCTCCCCCAGCAAATGATATTTACAGGCAACGTCAACAAAAAAGAGTGAAATGATACCAACTGAGTTTCCAAATAGTACCAGACTGTCAGATAAAGGAAAAGTTTTATTTTCCTGGGTTCCTTGTGCGTGCCTTACTTTTTCACAAATTTTGCTTTTGATCAGTTCTTGTTTAGGAGCTGCTAGTTTGTCATTTGCACGTGAAATTTTGCACTCAAGATGGTTGTTAAAATTAAGTGATTATCTTTACATCCTAGCAAGTACCTTGTTTTTATATTTCTAAATTTTTGACCTTTGCTAGGACTTGTATGAGTTTTTTGTTTTTGTTCTGGATAATATCTTAGCAAGAATTACCTGTCAAATCACTTTGGTTCTTGAAAGAATTTTTAAATTTCAAAATGGTGTCAGTACAACTACTATGCACCAATAACTCATTATACCATAATATAGTTATATTTTATTTAGTATGCTGCTGCTTCAAACATTCCAAGATTTTTCAATACTGCCTTGAAGGAGAGTTTTTCCTTCCATTAATCTCCCTTTTCTGTATTTTGTTGACTGTGAAAAATCAATTTTTGTAGGAGTTATTGGTCAGAAAGTTACAATCAATCTAGAAATTATGCTGCCTCTGTAATTTAACATATACATATATATTTGAAAAAGTGCATGTTTCACTGGATGGATTTGCCTGGTTTTCTTGTGATTTTTACAAGTTTTCAAATGACAGTCTCACATCACCACATAGAACTTAAGTTTTATGATCTGTACATAACAATGTAATTAGAAATAGAAAGAAATTATTTGTGTAAATAAAATGACTGTTTTACATGACACATTTATTCTTTTTAAAACAGTTGAAATTTCCGGTTGTGTATGGTCGGAATATATTTTCTCTTATGAATTAGTCGATACTTAAGTGACATCAAGAATGAAGTATCAGAGCGAGAAGATTTCTCCAATGATCAAAGTCGGATCGGGTTTCTCGGTGTTTGAAGACGGAGACACTGCTAGAGTTCAGTTCAGCTTTCTCAATGATTAGCGGACGCCCAGGATCTATGAGTTCGACTCGCCCTCTCTCCTCTTTGGGTCCTCGATGTACCCTAGCTCAACTCATTCGTCTCGTGGAACGTTGGCCGGTCCTTGCCGCCGTAGGCTTCATCGTCATACACGGTGTCAGACGGGACCGGGGCCTTGGTCGGGATCTCGCCAGGGACCTTGGCAGGGACCTTGGCAGGGACCTTGGCAGGGGCCTTAGCAGGCACTTTGGCAGGGATCTTCGCTGGGTCCTTGATGGGGACCTTGGTCGGGTCCTTGCCAGGTACCTTAGCCGGAACCTTGACTTTTGGTGGCGTCGGTGCCTCGGTGTCCTCGGAGGCCGGCGTAGTGCTCGGCTCCTTGCGCCCTGGTGCAGAGGCCGGTTCGGGAGGCAGCGCGATCCACGGCCTCTCTGTCGAGTCCTCGCGCCCAGGACTTGGCACCTCAGCGCCCGGCTCGGGTTCAGCACCGGGCTCACCAACGGGCTGCTCCCCTCCGCTGATACGAACAAGGATCTTCTTTATGCCGTGAGCGAACCAGTGCGCGAGGCTCTCCACCCAGGTACGCCCGGACTCAGGGTCTCCCTCAGCCTCACCACCTAGAACAGAAATCAGCATTGATATCACCCCTCCAAAAAATATGTTTGGACATTCAGAACAAAGCATCTTCTAAGTGGGTCCGCCGTGGGGTTTCTATTATTGACAAGAGAACATGCGAGTGGTCAGCTAATGGGCCCCTGAAAACATCGTAGATACGCTGCACCTCATGCAGGTGTGTGAGTGGGTTTGCCTACATCTTTTCTAAGCGGCTCACTTATCGAGTTGCCAACGTGCCTACGCGTCTGCGTGCGGTACAGTATAACTAGGAATTGTCCAAGAGGTCAGTAGATCCGCTTTGCGGTGAGGACGTACCCCGCCAATATTGTCTGTTTACCCACAACGCCCTCGCGGTACCCTTATTATGGCCTTGGCCTTGGCGACGGCCTTGGCCTTATCAAGCCGACAGTCTGGCTCTCAAGTCTCACCCTCGCTGCCCTCCAAGTCACGGCGCCCGAACATGATATTCCTGATGCGAATGACCCAGCGCCTGAGCCCGGTGGCAGGCGGCTGGCCGTCCGCCTGGCCGTCCTCACAGCCCGGCCCGTCGGCGCCGTCCTCCTGTGGCGGGCCGCGCTCGCGGGTGTCGCCGCCCTCGGGCAGCTCCTCGGCGTCGTCGTCCGGCTCGGCGGCGCGCTTGGCGCGCTTGCCCTGCTTGCTCTTGGGCTCTTGCGCCAGCGCCCGCTGCGCCGCCTTCCACTCCGGGTCGGAGTAGATGCTGGGCGGGTCGAGGTTGCGCAGGTCCGCGGCCGTCAGCGAGGAGGTGATGATGGCGCCCGGCATGGCCTCCCGCAGCGACTGCTGGATGGAGTGCAGCAGGCGCTCCGCCTCCTCGTCCTCGCGCTGAGAGTTGGCGGCCTGGGGGGCAGAGGAGTACACGGACACGGGTTGAGGGTTTGAGGTAGGGCTCTCAAAGCCCCGGACCAGCTGCATGGTGCCGGCTCAGTGAGAAATGCAGTGTCGAATCGACGTCGAATCAATGTTGACATCGTTTCCTCGTCGATTTGCGGCCCAAAGCAACCTCGATTCAAGGCCAGTTCGGGCTCTGCGCCGACGAAATTTAATTTTGACGTGGATTCGATGTTGCATTTCTCACTGGTCGGGTAGAGGGTACTCGAGACCGAACAGAGCGTCCGGTACCATGTCGGACACCTGCTCGGTAGGCAGCCGCACGTGGAGGGAAGGAACGGCGTTGCCTCCTCTCCAGGGGGGCCCCGGCGGGCCGGCGGCGGGTAGATGTGAGAGCCCTAGTCCATAGTCTGAAGGCTCCCTCTTTTCGAGTCTGAACTTGAATAGAGCGCCGTTTGGTACCACCCCAGACGCCTGCTGGATAGGGCACTGTCCAGAAAGGACGTCCGTTTTCCTCAAATTCATTCGGCAAATTACGGGAGCTCGGCGCCTGCGAGACTCGGGGTAGGCCAGCCCGCAGTACATGCGTGCCCTGAAGACAAGATGTTGCCTACCCACCAGGCGTTATGAGAGCTCCGTTTCTCAGGGAAAAGTGTATTTCCCAATTCTTCCTTCCAATTTCGGCTTGCGGTTGAAAAAGATTTTCAAGTATTGAGATATATTTTGAGGAGGGGTAGTGAGTTAAACTGGCAAACAATGTCATGCCGGATGTCGGTCGTGTCCTGCTTTTCGTGACCAAGTTACGTGATTCCAAGCGGTCGGTTGCCACGGCTCCCCGACACGATACGGCAGATTTCGTCCTTTCAGAGCGAGATCAAACGAATACGTCACATTATTCCAGATAAATATCTAAATATCATCTAATATTTTTTCTATTTGGTGTGACCCTGCAACTGGAAAAATGCTTGGGTAATGTGTCTCGTCCGACGGAATTTTTCGTTGCCCAATTAGAGCGTTGCCTGTTTTCATCGCTCCATTTCAGTGATGAGTTTTGGAACATCCCTCCAAATGAGTGATGGTTTTCGATCGTCGCTTCTTTTGAGCGACGGTCGCGATTCAAAGAGAGCAATGTTCCAAAATCTTCACTCACATCTATCGTCAAATAAGGCAAGCGTCACTCTCCCAGGACAAACGAACAAACGAAATTGGAATCGCGACTCCCGCATTTCCAGGAGTTGTTCGAGAGGGGGGGGGGTGGCAACGGATGGGAGGTGAGATTTTAAGGGACTAGAAGGGGACTCACAATGCCCAGACGCCCACGATGAACACTTTGAACAGATTCACGCCAAATGTTCCATATTCTTGAACGAAGCACATTTGCATAAGTTCGCAGCATAGTCAGATGCACATTCCAGTACATAACATTTGCCCTAATGCGAATTCGTCTTTTAGAAATAGCTGGTTTGGGGGTCGAGCAATGTCGTGTGTGTGTGCGGGGAGAGGTGGGGGGGGGGGGCATGCTCGTACGAAGTTATCTGTTGACATACATTTTATTATTTCATATTTTAAGTGGAACTCCTACTATAATTACTCCTGCCATGACAAATTTTCGTTTCAAATTGCTGTACTATTTTGTTTGAGAGTAGTGTGCATAAACGCGTATGAAATCTATTCGGATTCATAATCCTACTCAGCAGGAATGGCGCAGCGTGACCCCTGAGAGGTCACCCGCAATCCCCGCGCTCGGCCCGCGACGCGCTTTTCGAATGACGTTCGCGATCAGATCGGGCGGCTCGGCCGGCTCACCTACTGTGGCGTGCAGGCGCTCTGCGGCGCTCTGGCCCAGGCCTTGCTCGCCCTTGACCTCCGGCACCCTCTTTATATCAGTTCAAAAAGTGTGTACATTTACGTAGGGAGCCCGGGCTCTTGACGGCCAGCCGGGGGTCAACCAACTTCCCAACGGCCTGTGAGGTATAGGCAACTCCCGACGTTGTTCGACCTCTCCCCCACCCCCACTCGTTTAATCTAAATCTCCTTAAATCGAAATAAGTTTTTTCACCTGGGTGTGCGCTTCTTCACAATGTCGCCACCTCACGCGCTCGCTATTTTTTCTTCCTATTTGTCCCGAATGTCTCTGGTCAAATTGAGTCAAATCGACTGCACGATGGGGATACACAGGGTGGGTGGGGTGCTCAGCGCCAGCGCCGCCCCATCAGAGCCCCCCGCCTTCAAGAACGGGGCCGGTTTCCGATGAAAGGCTTCGTTTGAGTCTGCAGTGCGTGGTAGGGCTCTCACTTTTACCCGCATACCCGGGTAACCCGAGTATCCGTGCGCCCGGGTGGGAACCGGGTAAACGGGTCTTACCGGGTAACACGGGTTTACCCGGGTACCCGGGTAGAACCGGCGGGCAATTTGACATACCGGGTCTACTCAGGTACCCGGGTTACCCGGGTTACCGCTGTTACCCGCTGTTACCCCGCAGGACCCGTTTACCCGGTTCCTACCGGGGTTACCCGGGTACCCGCCGGTCCGGGTTTCGAGAGCCCTGCGTGGAATCATGATAGTAGGACCTAACGGTTCTCCATCTTAGGTCCTACTATCATGGTGGAATGTCTCTCAGCGGCGTCCTCCGCAGCCATACCTGCGCGGCGAGGGCGGCGCCCAGGACCACGGCGAGCGCGAGCGCGAACCTCTTGACCATGGTGTCGCTGTGGGGTCCTGCCGTGTACTGGCTGCAGGGCCCTGCTGTGTGCTGTAGCGTGAGCGTTGGTCCGGTCGCCTGTCCCTGTCCCTCGCACGGGAGGACCAGCAGGGCGCCGAGGAGAGGACAGGGCCAGCCGAGCACAGGCCTGGAAGGTCGGCGGTGCGGTGCGGGCCCGGACGCGTGGGTGTTATCGAGCTCATCTGCCGTACCGCCGGACCAGGCCGGGACCGCCACGTCACCTAATGGGTGTGCTGCACCGGGCTGGGCCGCCTCGAGCCACGAGATGAAATGGTTCATATTTGCCAACATATTGGAAAATAATGGAAATTTGTGTTTTTATTAAGGCGAATAATAACTTTTGTTGGAATGTACAGCTAGTGAGCTAGTGGTAAGGGTGATGAGGGGTTCGTGCGAATGTTTGGGCGCGGTCTTGTGCTTAGGCTGACACCTGGAACACGGCCTTGCTGATGTTCCTGTTTCTGAGCTCCTGCATGGCCTCCTCGTACTGGTTCAGCTGGTACACGCGGACGCCGAGCTTGTCGAAGTTCAAATACCTTCAGGGGAGGAAAGGACAGTCTTTTAGTTCGACTCGTTCGTCGGCATGGACCACGGCCGTCCGAGTCATGCAGCAGCGCATTCTTACTTGTCTCCCATAGCCTCGAGGAAGCCGATGGACTTGTTGAAGCTGAAGGGGTTGACCATGACTCCCAGGATGGTCAGCTCCTTCTTGTAGATTTCATAGGGCGAGATGCTGGGAAATAAATAGACAGGGCGTGTGAGAGTGGCCGTGCAGGGAGTTAGTGCAGCGCACTGTCTCTGCGGCGTGCTCCCGGAGCCCCTGAGAGGTAGGCCGGCCCGCGCTGCACGCAGGTGCAACGGGACGGCCCGACCTCCAGGCGCTCCGCTGGCTCCACCGGCTCAGCTCCACTGCTGCAGGTGTGACGACGGCGCGACTCACCTAGCAATTCTAATTTTCCGGGAACCTGTTTTTTTGGAAAACTCTCTCCGGTTTTTTTTTCAGGAAAAGTTTCTAATTTTTCCAGAAAAATGTCAGACTTTAAACCCCCTAGACTTACCTCATGCGGGCATGGGGGGCGGCCACGCCGAACACTAGCAGCTTGCCGCCGGCCCTGAGGAGGTTGACGGCGCACTCCATGGCGGGGGCGGCGCCGCTGCAGTCGATGCAGACGTCCACGCCCCAGGAGAAGTCGCGCGACCGGGCGGCCAGCAGCTCCTCCGGGTGGCACACCTGGACGCCGAGGTCTGCGACGAGAGCGAGAGAGGATCCCGTCAGAAAGTGGAGACGCACAAGAGGGGGGTGGGGGGGGGGTGAAGAGAGGGCTTTGTTGTAGGCTAGAGTGTACACCAAGGGACACTTAACTCAAAAAATCAATGTACACCAACCCCAAAAAATCAGGAAAAATT